CAGCCTGAGCACTCGTGCTTAAAGCGACAGGTGTTCCCCCATTTGCACTGGCCCTCGTTGAAGAGCCAGCATAAGCCCTTTTGCAAGGCGGTCAACGAGGCGGACTGCCCCTTTGCGCCGGCCGTGTGCTGAAAGGGCTGCGCCTTCTGCGCCATCATCAATTTCATCCAGAGAGGTAGGTCCATTTGTTCCCACCTCATACACGGATTGGCCACCAAACGCTGCTGGAACTGCTCATCATACTGCCACCATGCCAGCCCGCCATAGGTGCGGTACGCCTTCCAAATTCCGTCCAAATAGCAGAACAGGGATGAGCATAAGCCCAGCGATTTCTCGCCTAGGACGCTGGCCAGCACGCAGAATGCCCTCAGCCAGTTGCCAAAAGACTTTGGTATCTTACAATACCGCTTCTTTTTCTCCTCCTCCTCTTTTTTCTTGTCTTTCTTATCCTCCTCCTTGAGGTCAATAAAGTCCTCCAAGGGGAGAAGGGAAAAGATTTCACAGAATTCGCCTTTCCAGATCTTTTCCTTCACCTCCTGTTTGAGGTGCACCCCCAGCGGACCCGCAAACGACACATATACGTGCTGCCTGGCCACGTCGGGACCCCTCCCCCAGCTAACTCTGCCCACTCACTCGTCGCGTCCGCCACGGAGTCGCCGCTTGAGCCCGGTCCCATGGAGATCACTTCGTTAGCACCCGTGACCCTTGTCCCCTGTGCCCATACCTGATTTACGCCGCCCCCTGTGTCACCCCCTGCTCCCAGCGAGTGGAGTAGTGCTTGTAGTGTGTGAACCAGCGTACTGGATTGCAATGATGCACAGGACTCACCGGCCAAGCCCTTCGTCCTACGAGTGCTCGGGGCTGCGTTGTCAACTGCCACACATCCGGGATGAGTGACATCCGTCGACGTCTCGCCGACCGGGGTGCCAGCCCAGTGCCCAGCCAGCACAGAGGAGGAACGGCTCCGAGACCTGCAACGAGGAGAAGAAGTCCTGGGTAGGGTGTACTGATCTCCTGCTAGCCTCCCGTCCTGACCCAGGGAGCGCCTGCTTGTCTCCAAAGCCTCCCGCCGTGTGGCCCCAGCACTCCGTGCTCCAGAGGCCAGGACAGCCCCGCCCCGAGGACTACGACTCCTCCCGTCCCTGCGTGTGGTCCGCCCCCGCCGACCATGCCTGGGGGTCATGACCCTGTCCCCTTCTGACCCCCCCCCAATGTGGACCTCACCACATCATCCATGGCCGTGCAGCAACGAAAAGAAAAACCCTACCAAGCCCAATCCGCGTACACAGGCGTGCACACAAACTCGGTCAGGTAGGAAATTAGAAGTTAATTCACTTAAAATGGCTGCTTATTTAAATATCCCAGCCCACTTTCCCATAACTCCATTACTTCCTTTCCTCCTCCTAACTCCTGTCAAGGCCCTTTTTCGCTTAGCTGCGCTTTGACTACATGGGGCTACATTCTATCTTTGAACTTGACTGCTAGGGTGGCATTCCTAAATGTGAATTATGAAGGCCACAAATCTAGAATTGGTATTACAACTACTGAATATAGTGTGAAACAAGTGAATAAAGAAAGGTTTAAAAAGAAAGAAAAATGGAAAATCTTTACAAATTCATATATGAAGCATTGTCTCATTTTTCTTTAGCCAAATGGATTGTCAATTAGACCACTTTAGACAATAGCAGGAAATATTTGTTTTTTCCTTTGTACATCATTAAGCAGTCATCAACAAAAGCCGTATGAAGATGTTTTCTCTTCCTGCATTGTGAGATACAAGCAGAATACCATCTGACTTGTCTATTTATACTTTCTGAAATAGGACGAGGAGAATCAAATGACAGAACACATTATAATTCAGAACAATCAGATCATTTTCTTCAAATACAGTGTACAGTAATGCAGAAACAAACAAAAAACACTTTTATTTTCAAATGCTATCAAAAAAAAAACAAAAAACCTGTATACATTGAAGAAAGTCGAAAATTATTAGGGTGAGTGAAAATGTCAGACCTGAAAGAAAAATGTGCCAATTTGCCTCACATGGGAAATTCTGTGATAATCACTAGTGATGTCCCGAACGGTTCGCCGAAAGGTTTATGAATGGTTCGCCACGAACGGTTCGCCACGGACTCATCATTGAGTAAACTTTGACCCTGTACCTCACAGTCAGCAGACACATTCCAGCCAATCAGCAGCAGACCCTCCCACCTCCTGAACAGCTCTTAGTGAGGTGGGAGGGTCTGCTGCTGATTGGCTGGAATGTGTCTGCTGACTGTGAGGTACAGGGTCAAAGTTTACTCAATGATGAGTCCGCGGCGAACCGTTCGGGACATCACTAGTAATCACCTAAAATGTGATTTTTTAATTTTTTTTTTATTTTTTACATTTCTATTTTGATTTTTTTGGTCCTGCATTTTTGGTCCTGCACCACTATAATGAACATGTATTTCATTATAGTGGTGCTGATAAAATGGCCTAAATGTTTACAAAATACTCAAACAGGAATCTTTGCACACACGAAATGTACAGTTTCAAATTGAACAATATGCTCATACATAGGTATGCACAGCACACACCAGTCGCAATTCTACTTTACAAATATACCATTTTAAAACATGGCATACAAAATGCAAATATATTTCTCCAGGAATAAGCAGGTCTATGGAAATTATTGGTTGCTTGTTCAGAAACGTGTCAAGCTAACAATAACTCACACAAAACAGCCAGAGGTGGAATCAGAAATTTTAAGGCCCCTAATTCAGCTCAAGGTCTGGGCCCCTGGGGGCCTGCCTCCAAGCTCGCCCACAGTGACCACAAACACACGCACTGATACAAAAGGACACAGATACACACATACTGACACACACACAGAGGCGGCTTTACGGCTTTACACTTTATGAGGCCTTAGGCGAAACTCAAACATAAGGCCCCACTAACACCAAAAGTGAAAAAAAAATAATAGGGTTGCATTTTATGTGACAGGATTAGAGGCATCAATATGACAGGATAAGTGTGGCAGGCTTGGGGGGAGAGTGTGACAGAGTGAGAGAAGGTGAGTGTGACAGAATTAGGGGGGTTAATTTCACAGTGTGAGTGTGGCAGAGCGAGGGCAGGTGAGTTTGGAGGAGGTGAGATTAACAATATTAGGAGTGGTTAATTTGAGTTTGGATGCGTTAAGGGGATGACAGTGTGGGGGGATGACAGTGTGAGGGGAAGCTTACAGTGTGTGTTGAGAGGCTGACTGTGTGAGAGTATGGTGACACTACATTGTGGGGGGTGACAGTGTGTGGGGGGCACGACAGTATGTTTGAGGGAAGGTGAAAGTATGTGCGAGGGAAGGTGACAGTGTGTGTGAGGGGTGTGATACTGTAAGAGAAGGGGGGTGATAGTATGTGGGACAGTGACTTGATACTATGAGGGAAGGGGGTGATACTGTGTGGGACAGAGGGTTAATGCTGTGAGGGAGGGAGAGTGATACTGTGAGGGAGGGGGTGATACTGTGAGGGAGGAATTGTCTGTGAGGAGGGTAGTACTGTAGGAGGATACTGTGAGGGAGGGTTGATGGTGTGAGGGATACTGGAAGGAGGTAATACTGTGAGGGAGGGTGATACAGGGGAGGGTAGTACTGTGGGGATAATGTGAGGGAGGGTAGTACTGTAGGGATTACTGTGAGGGAGGGGTGATGGTGTGAGGAGATACTGGAATGGATAGGGTAATACTAGGGGAGGGGTGATACTGTGAGGGAGGGGGTAGTACTGTGGGGGATACTGTGAGGGAGGGGGTAGTACTGTGGGGGATACTGTGAGGGAGGGGGTGATGGTGTGAGGGGGGGATACTGGAAGGGAGGGGTAATACTGTGAAGGGGATACTGGGAGGGTGGGGGTAATACTGTGTGAGGGAGACTGGGAGGGAGAGGATTAATGCTGTTGGGGAAATATTGGAAAGGAGAGGGTTAATGCTGGGGGAGGAATATTGGGAGGGAGAGGGTTAATGTTGTGGGGGGTACTAGGAGGGAGAGGGTTAATGCTATGGAGAGACTTAATGCTGGGTGGATACTGGGAGGGAGAGGGTTAATGCTGAGGGAGGGAAAACTGGGAGGGAGAGGGTTAATGCTGGGGGAATACTGGGAGGGAGAGGGTTAATGCTGGGGGAATACTGGGAGGGATAGGGTTAATGCTGCGGGGGGGAATACTTGGAGGAAGAGGGTTAATGCTGGTGGGAACATTGGGAGGGAGAGGGTTAATGCTGGGGTGGATACTGGGAGGGAGAGGTTTAATGCTGGGGTGGATACTGGGAGCGAGTGATTAAATATCTTTTTATGCTCTTTGTTGGTCCTGTGGGCTCCCTGGTGTTCCTGTGGCCATGGCCACTGGTCAACAGCTCTGCAGTGTGCAGAGCTGCAGACCATGTATCTCGCGACATCCAGTCAGAGCATGCTGTGGTAACCCGCGGCAATGCTCTGATTGGTCAGAATTCGCTAGACACATGGTCTGCAGCTCTGCACACTGCACAGCTACAGACCGGTGTCTGCAATGGGAGCTCTCCTCCCGGGCAGATGCCAAGGAGGGGCCTCGCTGGAACCTGGCGCGCGGGAGGAAGAGATGTCTTGCACGGACGAGATGTGGCGGCTCGCGACATCATGCTTGGCGGACTGATCAGGGATTCCCTGGCACCCGCTACCTGGACGGCGTACAGTAAGGTGTGGGGGGAATGGGACGAGCTGGTGCAGCAGACAGGGGGTTAGCTCTAAAGGGAGGCACGGTTGGACGCGCTGCTGTGGCTCTTGTCTAGGTCAGTTACCACAGGGGTTTCGGCAGCAGTGGTGGGGCGTAAGCTGACAGCGCTAGCCTTCTTGTTCAAATTTAATGGGTGGGAGGATGCTATCAAACATTTTCTGGTTACACAGGCACTGAAAGGTTTCAGGAGGGGTAAAGTGTCAGTGGATTCTAGGAGGCCGGTGTCGTTCGAGTTGCTGCAGCGGGTGGTCCGGGTGCTGCCCGCGGTGTGTTTTTCAGGATACAAAGTTACGTTGTTTTCCTCGATTTTTAGTTTTTCCTTTTTGTGGCATTTCGGGTCAGCGAGCTGGTTAGCAGCAATCGCCAGAGGGCCGGGGGGCTTCAGGCGATGGACGTGGAAGTGTGGAGTAACAAGGTAGTGATTAACCTGAGGCAGTCCAAAACGGATGTAATGGGGAAGGGAACTTTGGTTACATTGTGGGAACTCCTGGGTGGGAGAACTTGCCCGGTTAAGTGCGCAACGGCCTTCCGGGAGGTGTGGGCAATGGCCGGGGGTTCATATTTTAAGCATGAGGACGGCTCTTCGCTATCGAAGTTCCAGTTCCTCAGGGTTTTTCGTAAGGCGTTGGCAAGGTTGGGAGTGGACCCAGGCCAATTCGGGACACATTCTTTCAGGATTGATGCGGCTACTGAAGCGGCGAGACTAGGCTTGGGTGACGAACGGGTGAAAAAGATTGGCAGGTGGGAGTCGCTGAGGTTCAGGTCTTACATTAGGCCAGACAAGTTGGTTTAAGGTGGAGGATGGTTAATGGGGAATGTTGGTTGGTGGTTGTTTTGTGGTTGTCTATGTTTACTTTATGTTTTACAGGTTGGATGGCATGGATGGCAAAAACGTCCCATGATGCTTTGCTAGCATTATGGGTGTAAGAGCATTATGAGGGATGCAGTCAACAACATCTGCAGTGCCGAAGGTTGCCCACCCCTGTGTAGGATATTCAGCTTCAGTTCTTTGATTTGGAGAGCTGCTTTTATATAGCCAGGGTCTAACAAGACCAGAAATATTTAGAGCTCTTTCCACAACCTACCAAATAAGAATAATAAACGTAATGATTCTGTGTTTGGAACTTAACATTAAAATGCATTATTTAATGTTTTTCTAAGCTATCGGGACATTTCAAAGTTGACCTATCTGCACAAAAACATTATTTTGTTCTACTTAAAGTGCTTCATGTTTAGAAATGTCTTATTGCCTTGTGACCTTTTATCAGTTAAAAAAAAACACATAAGCAATAGGTTTTCATGAGCAATCTCTATTCAGTTACTATGTACAGCCTTAGGCAACAGTTATATGATTTTGTTGACAGATTTAATACAGTGTTACTCTCAGCACTTACTACATGAGAAATGTAGTTCCTTGAAATGTCTGTCAAATGTCCCTTGTAGGTGTATCATGACAATTTCTTCATCACTATAATGGTCTTGAATACTCAATAAAACACTTGCACATTGGTGTTTGTCATATAAATCATTAAATGAATTGCATGTATTAGACTGCTTGAGTGCAATATCTAAACCTTTTTCACTTTTGTATTGAAAGAATATGGACCTATCATGGGTCTATCTAGGTCAGGGGTGCCCAAAAGGCAGATCCTTAGATGTTGTAGAACTATAACTCCCATGATGCTTTGCATACCGTTAGACTGCTTTAGAACGACAAAGCATCATGGGAGCTGTAGTTTTAAAACATCTGGGGACTTACCTTTTGGGCACCCCTGATCTAGGTCATCATCTTTTGCATCTTTTGTATCAGTCTGAGCAAGTTCCACAAACTAAAATGCATTATGTAACCATCAGGTGCACAAACTGATGTATACACTAACAGCAATTTTCATGGCCTTCAGTGAGACAAAAAGTGACAGCACTCGTTCGATTTGAAAATTTTTATGAATTTTAGAAATTCATCAAAGGTTATATTATATAAGTATCACAATATGCTGCAGTCATAGTTTGGGTATGTTAATTTAGTACAGCTCACTCTTGAATAAACCTCATGGAGCTGGGTAATATAAACACCTAAGTGGACAATATCGGTATATATATGTGACGAACTGGACCCCATCACGAGTTCTTGGAGGGGCATACTTGCCAGCCTCTTGCCCTGTGACTATGGCCCCTGTGTTAAAACCTATCTGAAAACAATATTTGTGCCTGTTGGGACTTATAACAGGAACAATTCGAACTTTCGAACTGGCACTTCGAACTCTCGAACTCCCAAAGCCATTTGAAGTGCCATTTGACCACATGGTTGCGGCAATCTTGTTCGCATTGACCAAAACCGTGAATAGACTTCAGGGGGACTTAGCCGCGAATGCCCTGGAACCATTTTCGGCATAAAACCCTTGCGGTTTCCGGTCGGTCCTCCAGCAACACTTAGCCGCGATTCTATGGAACTATTTTCGGCTATGGGACCATGCCTGCAGTCGGTAAAAACTATGACTTCCATAAAATTTCTGAACCCCTCAACTGATCTGGGTGATTTTTGGATATGTTAGTCACCAAGATCAGGGCTATCAGTGGATATAACTTTATGGGGATTTTATGTGTTTTAAGGTATTTTTTGGGGTTTTGTAAAAATGTGTGTTTTTTTGTGTTGGGAGATAATGGAGTTTAATATAGTACATGACTCAATTATTTATTTATTCATAAAATATTTTACTAGGAAAGACATTGAGATTTCTCTCATTTTCAAGTATGTCCTGGGTCCACAAAACATTGCATTGTTACATTAGGGTACAATAAAATAAAAAAACAATATTAATACACAATATATACAAAATTTACCATAGAACAGGTAGGAAATATATAATCACTCATGACATGTGCATTCTGTTTTGAGGTATGTAGAGAGGGATCTCTTAAAGGACTCTAGGCTTGGGGAAGATTTTAAAGTGTGTGGGAGGTCGTTCCACAATTGCGGCGCTCTGTAGGAGAAGAAGGATTGTGCCGCTTTCTTTTTGTATTGAGGTAGACTAAATAAAGTGTAATGTAAATGGTAGTTGGTTCAGCGCTTAATGTGTCAGTAGAAATAGTGCAAAATATATTTGTATATGGGCAGCAACCTAAAATAAGACGTTCCCTCACAATGCGTCTAAGGAAGAGGAGAATCAAAGAGATAAAAGATATAGGTCGTGCCAAAAGTTATTGGGGAGTGTATAAAAACTCGTGTGGGAAAAAATAAATAAGTGAATATAAAAAGGTAGAAAAGAGCAACATAAAAAGTACTCACATATACAGTGGTATATAATAACATAAATAAGTCCTTAGATGAGTATAAGATGGTGTAGTCCACTTAATGAGTAGTAAAAGGAAATAGTGATCTAAACGAAGAGATGATCAGGAGTTTCTTGTTCCGAGTGACGATATATAAAATAGAACAGAAGGAAATTCCAATAGTGTAATCTGTCAATTAAAATTCCTTGCGTGAATTCAAGATAGTAGAGTATCCCACTCACCTTTTTGAGAGCTAAGATAAGCTCAAATCAACTTCGCATCCAGTGGTATAGATCCCCCACTGATGGGATATAGGCTTGTGCACGTAGAGAAAAACCTCGGGGAAAGTGGAGAATAACACAAAATAGTGCTCACTGTATAATAAATGTAACGTGAATATAAGAGTATATGGGATACTCACATTTAGGTGAGCAGAAAATACTGCTCACTAATATAGCGTTGGTGGTATAGTCCCCACCTAGGATTCTTGAGTACAGATTAAAAAGAGCATAAAATAAAAATAAAATAAAATAAGATCAAAATAAAAACCAGGTCCAGGAATAAAATAAATGAGAATAAAAATTATAGGATTATGGCAAAAAGAATATATTAGCCAATAATCCTTTATTAGTGCAATATAAGATAATACAAAAGGTAAAATAGCCAAAACGCGTTTCGCCACACAGGGCTTTATCAACTGGCAATTGTAGAAACAGAGACCTGGTATAAAATGGTTTATATAAACTATTAGTCCATTAACAATTTTAAAATTGGTGCCAAAATGATGTCATAATTTATTCACGAAATAGTTAATAGCATATATGTGGTTAAAAGTGAATATAACATTAAATCCAATTTTAGAGACATATTATTAGATTAATAATTCATGAACATCCTAATTTTAATCAACAAGATCTTTTTAAAAAAATTTGAAAAAGTACTATCCTCAGAGATTAAACTAAAATGGGAAATTGCCACTTTGAAAAAATACATAGACGAACAAATTACCCCTAGAGGTCTCAGACTACATAAACTCCCAACTTCAGATCAAGATGATGATGAGTTTATGAACGAATGGTTCGGAAAATTAGAAAAATGTACCTTAGGTCTTATGGACACTTTAATTATGAAAAAAAGCAAAAAACTCTCACTTCTAGATGTAGAAATAAATGACCTAAAGGATAAGCTGTTACCCTTTACTGAAACTCAAGCCTACAAACAGAATTCAGTTCTTATCCAAAGCAAAATAGAAAAAGTGGAAACCGATACTAGACACATCAAAATTAAAAAATACATAAGAGACAAACAAGATTACAACAATGGTCAGGTCAGAACGTATCATCTACAGAAAAAATACACATCAGACATTTCCACATATAAAAGGTCGGACTACCCACACATTGACACAAGACACCATCACTACCAGAATCGCAATCACTATCCCCCATCCCCTCCTCACTATCACCGTCAAGCACATTATCATCCCCAGCCTAAGTATCACAAACCCCTTACCCAACAGAATCACTACAGAAGACGGTACCTATCACCTAAAAATACAATGCCATCACATCATCATAAAAAATTCTTATATCACAATAGAACACAACATATATCATCTCCTGACTACAAAAACTTTTCTCATTACAACGTCCCTCTCAAAACTACATACCACTCTCCCACATCCAAAACTCGTACATCTAAAGATGACACTCCAAAACCACAAAGACACCGCCCTGGACTAAAAAATTTAGATCTTCCTAAATCCCCTAACAATTATATTCACGAAAACCGCTATCAACTACTATCTATTGACTCAGAGTTTGATAATGAAGACAATTTTTTAGACTTCCGCACCCAAAACCTTTCTCATATACCAACTCCATACCTACCAAAAAGACGCAAAAGAAGTCTGAGTATAGAGGAAGGAGAAGTGGCAGAAGACTACAAAAGGGAAAGAACAGAAAGATAATTACTAACAGAGATGAAAAAGAACTGGGCATTTTTAATTTGTCACAAAAGGTTTTAACTGCTGCACAGATTTCAGTTTTAAGCAAAGGTCTTAAATTTGCCCCTACGAACTCTTTTAAGCCTTTCCAAGCACTTTTAGATATAAATAAGTTTGTTAGGAAAGCAACAATAAAAAGATTTTACACTCAGCAAAAGATTTCCTTTCCGAACCCTGTATCAGAACTACCTCTC